TCGCAAGGCATGGGGAAGGCCTGCCCAAAAAGGCTGGCACCATGCCAGCCACTGGCACCAGGCCATGGCCAATGGCCTTGACATTGATCTCAGGCATAAAACAATGCTTCTCATGAACTACCTGGCGATCTTGTGAAAATGCAGATTCTGATTCAGGAGGTCTGGAGTGTGGCCTGAAGTCTGCATTTCTAACAATTTCCCAGGTGATGCTGATGCTCCTGGTCTTCAGACCAAACTTTGAGGAGCAAGCGCCTAAAAAGTACCAAGATGAAATCAGGAAGTAGAATCTGTAAAGCAGGACAACTGTGCCTGCCTCTTCAGGCTACGATGAGGATTACCAATCACATTAACAATCACGCCTCCGTGTACTGAACTTGGCCTCACAACAGTCCTGGCAGTAGGGTATGATTTCCATTTGACAGACAACAAAACCGAGACCCAAAGAAATCAGGTCCTGTATCGAAGGTCATGCAACTAATTATGCCGGATTCCCAATCCAGGTGTATCGGCCTATGGAGCCTATCTGCTGTGTGTTAGTGGGAGACAGAAAATCTTAGGTGGCCACTACCACAGAGGCTGGTATGAAGTCTGGTTTTTACTTTGCCTCCGTCTCCCCATGGGTGAGATGAAGACATTGCACCTGACAATCTCTGAGGCCAATCTCTGAGGTCTCCCCATGGGTGAGGATGAAGACATTGCACCTGACAATCTCTGAGGCCTCTTCGACCCTCTGACACCAGCTTTCGCTCTCATGGCTCCCACGTACGCTCACAAGGGTCACCGAGCATTAAGCATTAGCTTCACACATGTGGCAGACATTACATCTTGGCACGATCCAAATTCTAGCTGCTCACATCTGCATTTGTGCTGATCCATGCATGGTCAGAAGTCTATCTCTGTTAAAAAATCCCACGCTCAGTCTAACAGAGAAAACAACACACGGATTCCCTAAAGCATTGACATTCCAATCCGGTTGATAACTCACAACTATCGGGGTACAACGGCTCTAATCCGTTTTTGTCTCCTCCTCATCTCACTTACAAAAATGGAGAAATTGAGACCACTAACCTGACAGAAGCTTGAAGAAAAAGAAAAAAATGAGTTATTTATAATGCGTTTTATACAATTGTCCAACATTTCTTAGTCTGCCTTAAGGTGCCAGATAAGCATTTAATTAATCAATTATCGTTTAAAGGATTCAGGAAATGTGATCTTGTCCCTCCCTGAACTCCCATATTCACTGTACTCCCCTGGAGCCCACAGACCATTTTCTGCCAGGGATTTCCATGGTTTCTAGAATTTTCATTGTCCCTATTCATATTCAGTATGATCCCCAGAGGTAATCACATATTTGGGACCAGATCTGGATTTGAATCCAGACTTTGCTATTTATTAGCTGTATGACTGGGCGGATTACTCAACCACTCTGACTTCAGCTTCTGTACATGAAAAATGGAAAAAAAAAATTCCGGTTTGCCAGATTAAATGAAATAATATATTTAAATGGTTATCATTTACTGATTCTGGGTTAAAAGTAATTTGAGTGAGTGAGTGAGTGAGTGAATGAAGCAAGCAGAATAGCAGTCTCAATGCTAAAATATCACTCAACAGTTTGAGACATTGAACTGTCCAGGATCATGCTCATAAATGAGGCTGAAACTCAGAGAAGAACCACAGGTGAACTATGAAAAATCCAACAGCAAAAGGAAATATATGTTAGCCAAATGTCATCTCAGGCCTTCCATATCAAAGAATGTCTTTTGCTTAACCTAGAATCTACACTGGCCTTCAGAAGGCCTACAAACCTCCTAAAATTATAGCCAACATTCTATGCAGATGTGCATTTTCTAATGCATCTTCTAATCTCTGAAATATCAGAGATTCACCTAAAGTTTTTAATATGCCATAATCCTCTGCCCTACACTGACCCCTCCCCTCCCCCCCCACACAGGCACCACCCAAGAGTTAAAAGCTACTGCCTTAGGCAAAAAAGGGACCTGTCAACTAAGGGGGAGAAAAGGTGATTTTAATTTTTAAAAGGCTGAGGGATGCAAATGCACTGTTTAGAACCTCCCTGGGCAGTGAAAGTTATGATAATGAGCACTCCAAGCCAGAGAAAGGTGGTTCCGGATTCAAGACCCGGCTCAGCTGCACACTCGTTATGGGACCTTGGGCTAACCAGAGACTCGGGACAATCAGGACTGAAAGAACCTCTGACATCATCTATTCCACTGTCCTTCTCCTCCCATCGCACAGATGGAGAAACTGAGGTTCAGGGCAAGGTCATGGCTTCACCAGAGTCAAAGCAAATTAATTAGAGCCAGAATTTGAACTTCAGACTCGGCAAAATGATTTTCACACTCCGTATTTCAGCATCGGAAGGTCCAAGATACATGCTTAGATCCAGTGGCCTCTAAATTAACTCCTAAATGATGGATAATTACGACTCCCTCCTCTGGACCCAGAAATCTCATGAACACATGAGTTTGGTTTTGGCAAAGATCATTCCAGCTGCTTCTCAGTCCCAGCCCAGTCCCATAAGGACAAGGCAGAGAGAGACGGTCTGAAAGAATGAGAGATGCTGCTATTAATCTTGTGTAGCACTGCACCTGGGAATTACAGGCCTTGAACTAGATTTCACTGTATTGGCTATTACTCTCTTGTCCTCTTGCTTATTAATCCTTCATCCGTCTTCTCTTTATTAATGTTTCCAACTATGCACAGTAAACAGCCAGCTAGGAGCTCATCCTCAGCTTCCTATAATTCATTGGATCAAAAAAGGGCAGGAGGCGGGTGGAGGAAACAGAGGTGATGTCAGGGTCAAGTAATCTCTTACAGGAAGAACTGCAGGGGAATCCACAGTCTCCTAATAAAAAACAGACAGCAGAAGCCAGCCAGAATCTCTTACTCCACTGCCCCACGGAATTAACAAAGATGGAATCCATCTTTGCTTTAAAAGCATCTCAGGTCCCTGCATTGACACTGAGACAGGCTTTGCCTGAAAGACAATGGCCCTTTAAATAACGGGAAGAGAAAGGACAGTTTATAGAAAGAGATATCTCTCCTAAAACAGAGATACAACCATGGAGTCAGAATAAAAGTCTAGACCAGGATCTGCCACTGATACCTTAGACAAACTGGACTCCCTCCCTGACCCCAAGTCTCAATCTCTAAAAAGGGAATTTGGTTAGATTGGTTCTTAAAGTCCCCTCCGGCTTTGACATTCTGACCTCTCCTTACAAGTCAAGGACTCAATCTGGAAAAATCCAGCAGAAGACCCCATCAACGTCAACCAGTGGATAAGTTTACCGGATCCTCTAAAAATGAGACCCAGATTATAGAGTAGAGAAACATGGTGGAAGATGGACTTGTTTTCTTCCTTTCTAACCAGAACCTGAATGTTGCTGGAGGTAAGGGATAACCAGTGCATAAACACCCAATCATAGCATAGAGAGAATCCAAATCATTAACTGCTCTTCTGATATGTAAAAGAAGCAAGCGAATAGAAAAATACCTACTTCCAAACACTGGCTCTGTCACAGGGTCCTAAGACTTTCCTAGGACTTCCGGAAAAGTGACAGCAGGAGAAAGAAAAGACTGGCTAAGAAATAAAAATCACAGACAATAGGACATTTGACTAGAAGTCATGCCATGATCAACGGGCCCAAATCCATCTGTTGTTAGATGCTGACGTGGGCCCTAGAGAGGGAAAGTGACTTGCCAAAGGTGACACAGCCAGAGCTGGGATTAGAATTAGATTCTCACGACCTCCGGTTCACACAGCACAACATAAAACATGGCTTCCCTCCCCAAAACAATGCTCTTCTCTCCAGGTAACTCCGAAATAATTTCATGTGTAACTCCTGCCTCTACCTCCACCTCAAAAAGCAGTAACTGGTTAATTTGACTTAAAGTAGACTAGGGCTGTTTCCATCAAATTATAATAAAAAAATTCGCTCTAGCAACAGAGACAAGTCCATGATAATTAATTCAGTACTATTCAACCTCGCTAATGAACCACGCTGTGGAAAACAGGGACAATCAACGGTCTACAGGAGGCCAGAAGCCTATTCTTGTTCAAGTACAGATCTTGCCTATTAAAGAACATTGGGTATCAGCTCTAAATAGTAAACAGGGTATACTGTTTCAGATTCCATGAAGTGCAGCTTTAAATAGATTTGGTTTGGAAATGGAACAGGGAACACACCACAGTCAGTGGATCAACGTTGAAAGCAGAGAAAAACATGATTACACTCATTAAGTGGGTACCTGTTGACACATCTCCTGTCAAGTCTAATTATTTATTTAAACTGTTATTCTTTCTTCATTACTGCCACTGACACCAATTATTACCGCAAGATTATTTTCAATTTCTACAGCACGCCCCCAGAATATTTACTTCTCTACCTCCCAAAGCTTATTTGAGAAGTTTTTATCCATCCCTGCACACCAATCCCCACCCTCCAAAATAGGGATGGGGAGCGGGACGGATGGGTGAAGAGATACGGATGAAATCCCTCTCTCGCAAGGGCAATTCTTTCTTAACCTTTCAAGGCTTGCTTAAACTCCTATTTGTAGCTTCAAGATGGGTTTCAGTGCAGAAGAGGGGCATACTTACACAGTTTCAAAGCTTACTCTATTAATATTTAACAACTGGCATTTGGAGAAAAGTTAATACAACTGCAGCTTCTAAATGAACCACTTACATCTCTGCCTAACAGGGCTATCGAAAACTATAATATTATGTGTCTACAAGACACTCTTTTCTGATAGATTTATCCATGAAAATACATGAACTATATTAGAAAGGAGCTTTTGCAGGAGTAATTTAGGGACTAGTGAGGGACCAAAAGATGGGCAGGAGTCATTCCTGTATTTTTGGCCACTACCATTTTTTATAGCCCTCTCTTTCATAGGAATGAGAATAAAATCTAAACAATATAGCTGCTGCTCTGTCTGATCTAATTATGGAGGAGTTTCACAGTCCATACATCACCCACCTTGTCTGCCCAAGACATGTTCTTATGTGATGTGTATGGTGAATATTAGCTTTAAAAAAACCCTGTTAATTTAAAAAAAATCATATTAATATAACACCATAATTTCCACTCAATTCTAAACCGTTAATTCTGACAAATATGGGGCCTGACAACAAACTTTTTTAATTTTTTTAAAGATTTTATTTATCTATTTTAGAGAGAGAGAGAGATTGAGAGAACGAGTGGTGGGGAGGGGCAGGGGAAGAAGCAGACTCCCTGCAGGGCAGGGAGCCTGACACTGGGGGCTCGATCCCAGGACCCTGGGATCATGACCTGAGCCGAAGGAGGACGCTTAACCAACTGAGCCACCCAGGTGCCCAAACTTCAATTTCTTCCAAGGTCTGTGTAACTAAAGTCACACTGACAGTTCAAGATCATGGAAGTAACATACCAATGGAATGACCGAAATATTCAGCAAAACAAGTGTTCACAGCATTTTGAACGCTGATACCAAATCTTCCACAAAGTTGCTATCCTACGGGGCTTGCCGTTAGGAACACTATATTGATGACATCACCTCTTTCTCATCCAAGGCTTCTCAAAGACAACATAGAACCCAGCAGACCTAACTGGGAAGTGCAAATATTGGCTGGTTAGCTGTAAAAGAAAACTCCCATCTTGCAAATTTTACAACCATCATGCTTCCTTTAAATTTTTTTCTGGCCTCTGCTTTCTTGACAAACTCCAGACAAATATGTTCTTTTGCCAAAGTCCTAGCACCTTCGCACCGGTCCCCTAGAACAAGGGCATATACATACGATGGGGTCTGAGTTTCAAAATCCTCTAACTCATTTTCTGTATTCTTAGGACTTTGGTGATGTCACTGTAGCCTTGAATTATGTCTTTTTGAGATCTTTTCGGGGCAGCTAAAAGACAGCGACAGACCCGAGAAGTAGAGTTTGATCCCTTCAGAGCCAGGGAAGCATTGGCAGCATGGTGTAGTGAAAAATTCCCTCCATCAAGGGCCAGGAAATTAGAGAGAAGTCCTCCTGCCACATGCTAGCTGGGGATACAAAGAGACAGTAGAAGGGAACATGGCACATTATGGGGGCACCTGGGTGGTACAGTCAGTTAAGCGTCCAACTCTAGGTTTCAGCCCAAGTCGTGATCTCCCGGGTGTGGGATCAAGCCTCCCATTGGGCTCCGTGTTCAGCAGCCTCTGCCCCCGCCCCCACCACTCAGGCTCTCTCTCTCTCTCTAAAGTAAATAAATAAGTCTTAAAAAAAAAAAGAAAGAAAGAACATAGCACATTACAGACACTTAAATACTTGTTAAATCTGAATTTTCTGTGTTGCCCAGATTTTTGTGCTTTTGGTATTAAACCAGGAAGGCTACAAACTGAAAGGGGAAATTAAATCAAGAAGAGATAAAAAGATGGCAGTTCATTGCGTTGGCCATTTTTTCAGGTTTTGGTGCTCACGAAATACTTTTGCATTTATTCAAGATTATTGTTAGGATGCCTATTAGCATTTCATAAACATGAAGGTGCCGATCCTCTCTTACCTCAGATAGCTAGCTCTTGGAATGGTCAGTGGACACAAGGTTCAGCAAATTGCAATGCTGGTGTCTGTAAATGAAAAAGGTAAACATTACTCTTAGGTATTAAGCTGTAAGTTATCATAAACTTATATATATAGCAGTTTCTTGTTTTGCAAAACATTTTCATATTCATTATCTCATTTCACTCCATAACCCCCCAGTGAAGAATAGGAAGAGATTAGTCTACTCACTTCACCGGTGAGGAAACAAAAACTCATGGAGGAAGAGACAGAAGGAGAATGAAACTAACATATTTCTCACGACTAACTTCACAAACATATTTTGAATGACTATTACTGTCTTCATCTTACAGATACAGAAATGGAAGTTCAGGAAAGATGGGTGACCCGCCCAAGACTACACAGTACAGTACACAGAAGGGTACTCCGCCTGTTGGTCCAGTGATCCTTCCTTTATAGCTTAGTCTGTCCTGGGCTATTAGGTTAGGAAAACACAAACAACTCATTGACTTTCTCCACTAGGGTGGGTGGAGGAAGGAACAATACAATAAAACCAGCTATTTGATTGACATGAGAAAGTGGCAAAAACACATGGGATTTAGAGCCAGTCAGACTTGTCTTCCTCTTAACAACGTCCTTGGGCAAGTTACTTAAACTCTCTGAGTGTCAATTTCCTTATATGTAAATAGGGATTATAATATCTACTTCACAGCCCAAGCTCAGTTAAACTTTTTCTGTAAGATTTTCCTCCATTATTTCATATCTACAGATATGGACAGTGGTGATATACAAAACATTAATATCTCTTCCTATGAGCCCATGTTTATCTGATCAAAGAGTGATGTTACAAGCTCACAATCTACAGAATATCTCCAGGTTGGGAATTTCTTCGATTTCATATGCCTAATTCTAAAACACCGCAATACTTATCCATGTGTATCTCCCATGGCCTCACCTAACAACAACACAAAGAATGTTTGTTTCAAAAGACAACACCTCAAAATTTAAAAATTAAGTGTCCTCTCGACCCCAAAAAGCAAGAGATGCTGCTCTAGGTGAAGGACCTGCAGCTGCATCCCAAATCATTTGAAAGTCTGGGCCTTTGTGCCTGAAGTTTGTCCTTTAGATTCAGAGAGATGGAGCTTCCAACAGAAGAACATATAGGACTCAAATAAGATTAAGAATAGAATGTGGTTGATGGGGTGCCTGGGTGGCTCAGTCATTAAGTGTCTGCCTTCAGCTCAGGTCATGATCCCAGGGTCCTGGGATCGAGCCCCGCATTGGGCTCCCTGCTCCGCGGGAAGCCTATTTCTCCCTCCTCCACTCCCCCTGCTTGTGTTCCCTCTCTTGCTGTCTCTCTCTCTCTGTCAAATAAACAAAATCTTTAAAAAAAAAAAAAAATAGAATGTGGTTAAGATACCCTGCAAGAAAGTCTTGTCATAGCCCACCAAAATCAAAACAGTAATCATCTTATTACCAATTTTACCAATAAGGAAACCAAACTTCAAAGATCGTATGGTTAAAATGGAGCAGATCAAAATGTAACCTTGAATCTTGACACCAAAACCAGGAAGGACCCTTCTATTACATGATGCAGCCTCCCATTTGGGAGCACATTACCATATAAAAGTCAATTGTCAAGGCACCAAAGCACATTTAGTATTGAGCCCTGCTTCCCTGGCAAGTAAAGGAAGAGAGAGAGAGAGAGAGAAGACTTCGTATCCGTGGTCTAACCAGTAGGTGACACATTACGAAGCTGGGGCAAAAGGAATGTTCAAAGCAGGGTTACCATGCAGACTTTCTCAGCTCTCCCCAGTGCAGTTTCAGAGATGCAACATCTTTGGCAAACTCTCAAAACACAACCACAGAAACAACAGAAGCCAGCACCCCTGAATTCTCTCTCATCAAGAAGTCTCAATGTTCAGCAATAGAGAAGCTGAAGCCTCCCAGCTATGAAGTTCACCAGCCCTCTTCACATGATTCGAGCGTCCTCAATACGTCCTCATGCGTATTACCTAATGCAATGGAGTTCTCCACTAGACCCATAAAGGCATCTTAGACAACTGGCAAACCCCACTGGAGCATCTTGTTAATAAAGCCAGTCATCCTTAGCCGCCTCTGTATTTATGACTGCTGACCAAGACCCTGGCAGTCTGCAGCCTTGGTCAAACCACCCGTTCTCTCTCAAGAAAAATGTCCTCATCTTCAGAAGCAATTTCAACCCCAAATAAAGAAACCTGTATACTCAGCATTTAATTTGCAAACTTTCAATCTATTAATTAAAGTATGTGCAAAAGCAAGACTCACCAAGTCAACTTGGAGCTGGTAGAGAATAATTGATAATTTACACTGTATTTTGGGAAAAACGGGAATGAACAAATGAAGCCAATGAAAAAGAGAGAGAGGAAAGAAATATGACAGGGAATAAGGAAAAAGGCAGAAAGGAATGGAAGGATGTGAGAAATGAAGAAGCAGAGAGAACTGCTCCAAAAGGTTTTTCACAAACCACAATGTCTTCTGAACTGACCCCTGCACCCTAGGACAATTTTTAAGAAACACAAGTCTACGATGATGAACCTCACATTATGAACACAAATTCCAACCAACTGACACCAGAATCAGTGTGGCCAATGTAAAGATACCTCTTAATCCTTGATATTTTACAAGTGCTGTAATATCAGTGAGCAACACTACAGAGCCTTGTAAAAACTTGCACTAAGCCAACAAATGGGTAACTCCTTAGCACTGTGGTCCCAGAGAAGAGCTGAATGGGGACTGAGTGCCTGGGTTCTGCTCTTAGCACTTTAATTCCCAAGTCTTTTGAATTAGAAGTTGTACAAAATACATTTTGGTTTGGTTTGGTTTGGTTTGGTTTGGTTTGGTTTGGTTTGGTTTCTCTTCTCACAGATCTTGACCATGGTTATCCCTAAACCACTTGTGAAAAGGCCAAAAATTACTTTGTCTGGATTTTGTGTGTTTGCCTGAGTTTTAGGAAGGAGTAGAGGTAGAGTGAAAGGATGAGTAAGATCGATTTAAATTAAATTATTTACTTGTTTAAATTAAATCATACACCAGATTTGCTTAAATTAAACATTGTCATAATCTTTAACACGATTATTAGGAAGTCTGTCTCTGAGAACAGTTGAAATTTTAGACCAGGCCAAAGGCATTAGGTAACAAACAGAAAGGCCTCTACTCCCATCATCAGATCCTATACAAAGAGCATTTTTAAATGCACTCTCTCACCCACCACCCTAAGATACTTCTCAAGAATACAACATATTCCATGGCTTTGAATGATTTGGTTGTCTCATTAAAGTAATGTTTGCCAGTATTTAATTGCTTCCCTCCCTGATTTTAATTTCCTCACCTGTCAGCATCTATCAGAAGCACTGAGATCTTCTGACATCCTGGCTGATTGTGTTGAAATTAATCAGATTTTTAAAAAGTAAATTGCTTTGGCCTAAAGGTAATGCTCAGCTTCTTAATGTGATACTTATAAGGGCTCTATCAATGGAACTTATAATCTAGAAATTAAATGAGAGGCCTTAGGAATCCTAAGCAAAAATATAAGTAGCTTATAAATTTCCAGCACTAGACTTTAAAAGGTCAGTACTTTAAAAAAAATTCAATCAACAAGTGCTTATTGGACATATAGCACTTGCCCGCAGTCCGTTTTGGCTAAACGGAAGAGAGGGAGACATGAAGCTACCTTAGAGAGTGTGGAGAAATAGGTAAAAATGAAGTTGACCACATTTTGACCAAAGCAGCTGACAATCTGGTCACTCAAAAGGTGCATTTTGCATCTACAATGGTGACCAGTTATGTACATTACGCTCTCACACAGATTAATGATTCACTCTTCATCTCAATCCAGTGGGGTGAGGTTGGTGTTACTGTTAGTAAAAGTAGCAATATTCCCATTCGACAAGTAACAAAGCTGAGGCACAGAGTGGCAAAGGGACACTTTCCTAGATGCCTCGTTATGGGCAGACTGGGTCTTGTGATTTAAATAAAATCAGAAAACACAGCATGATCCCCTTGGAATAAAATAGAGAAAAAATGGGCGCCTGGGTGGCTCAGTTGGTTAAGTGACTGCCTTCGGCTCAGGTCATGATCCTGGAGTCCCGGGATCGAGTCCCGCATCGGGCTCCCTGCTCGGCAGGGCGTCTGCTTCTCCCTCTGACCCTCTCCCCTCTCACGTGCTCTCTCTCTCTCACTCTCTCTCTCTCAAATAAATAAAATCTTTAAAAAAAAAATAGAGAAAAAATTCTTTGCAAACCCTCCATACATAATTATTTAGTGCTAACTTTTATGCTCTCATCTATCAGTAAACAGTGCTTAAGACACTCAGGAAACCCACGAGCACTAAGCTGTTCTATAAGAAGTAAATGAAATGATGGATTGAGAAATGCTTTGTAATGTGTCATACTATCATGAGATTATTTTTATGTATTTATGTTATTATTGCTACTTTGGAATGCAGAAATATGCATTCAGGCAGTAATTAGGTCCCAAAAGCAAACCTACATATAACAGCATCACATCTATCTTTCAGTTATTCTCCTGGTTCTAAGGCCGCTCAAATAAACAGAAGAATGAAATATGTTGCACGAATACAACTGGAGGGAAGAGGAGAGTCAAGGGTAATACACGGAACTTAGTGATTGTTTTTCACAGAAACAGCTTAATAACCAAACCCAGTCTAAACCCTAGTAGAGGTCTTATCCTTCCAGTGGACTTTAAGCCCCTTACTCAGCCTTTAAGCATCCCACCTGCTGAGATGCTTTTCTCAATCTAGAAAGGTATGGGGAAGCAGCCCTTCTCATAATTCCTGGTTGGATCCATTTCTAGATCACTAAAATTACCACACTGTCTTAATATTTTTATTTGATTATGTGCCTTGAGGATAGAAACCCTGTCTAACTCAGTTTTTTGAACCCCAAACCCAAAATCTGATCTTTAGTACTCAAGAAAATGTTCAATGAATGAATTCATGAACAAATTAAAACCGTGTTTTATGTAATTCCTAGGGCCCCAGCTCAAAGCATGTCATATTAGAAGTGCT